CCTGAACACTCGTAAGTTCACTCGTGTTCATCTGATTTATATGGCGAAGGGTAAATCTGTTAGATATTAAACGAATACTGTGAACTGAATTGTGATAAGGGAAAAACATAAAGAAAACAATAGAAATTTAACACCGTTTTATGAATACTGCGAAGTGAATTGTGAAGTGATGAGGGAAACAACATAAACAAAACAATAGAAATTTTACACCGTTTTACTAGTGGACTTATACAGACTAGTTGGACTCCAATTTCGTGACTTGTTAGCCCTCCAATTCGTGGACTATTCGTTTAGCCTCAATTTCGTGGATCTATTCGTCGTTGTAGCCACATATTCGCGTATCTATCGGACCTCCATTCGTTGTATGCCTCCATTTCGGACTATTCGTTTGTAGCCTCCATTCGTGGACTATTCGTTGTAGCCTCCATTTCCGTGGTACTATTCGTTGCCTTATTAGGCCTCCATTTCGTGGACTATTAGTTGTAGCCTCCATTTCGTGGACTATTAGTTGTAGCCTCCACTTCGATCCATTTGACCGGAGTATATCTAACCTGCTGTTGAGAGCCGCAGCCGCTCCACCAGTGGCTACCCTGGGCTCTTACCTAGGGTGATCCCAGATTCATCCTGGCCGCCTTACTGCTTTCCCCCGTCAAATGACTTCTGTTTATTGACGGAGCTTCCAACTTGACAACCAACCACGGCTTTATTATTATTATGATTTATGTGTGGTATTTGTGTATATATACTGAATACATTCATGAAAGTGAAATATTGTGTTTATTATGGCCCGAGAATCTATATCCCAGAGAATACCATTAGAAGAACCCAAAGTTAATTTCAAATAAAATCTAAAGAGCAAAAGAAAAACATGGATAGTAACATTAATGATGATTATGGTATTAACAACAATAACGATAACGATAATTATAGTAACAATGATAATAATGATAAAAGCGTAATGATGACAATTATGATGATGATCATAATAATAAGTAAAATTATTATTATAGAGATAAGGATGATAATAGTAAGAAGAAGACGGCGAAGAGACAAAAGAAAATAACGCAATAACATATTCACAAAAATGGTGTAGATTTATTTTGGTTTCAGACGTCACAGTGAGGATAATGTTGATAATAGCAATAATAACAATAGTGATAATGCTTGTAATAGTAGTAGTAATTATGATAATTATGATAATAATAATAATGATAATAACAATGATGATAAAGATAAAGATAATAGTAGTACTAATAATAATAATTATATCAGTAAGAATGATAATGATAATATTAATAATAACAATAATGATAGTCACAATTATCATAATAATGATGATGATAACAACAACAATTATACGTATATTCTTCATGTATATGGTTTACAGCAATAAAACACAAATCATATATATCTGATGAAGCCCCAGATTCGGAAACTAAATACTTGCCAATAATAATTCTACGAAAGCTCATTAACAATTGTACGGAGTTAATTATATATGAAAGTTAAATGCAAGTGTATAATAGTTCCTCTGAATTGCTCGCTGAACTTTCTGCAAGATTAAGTCAGGTCAATTGATTCTCGAACAATAATTTGCGAGTTGATTCTAATTCTAATTCTAAATCGATTTCATATCTAGTTTATGAGTTGTTTCTAATTCAAATTCTAAATCTAATTTCATTTCTAGTTTATGTTGTTCCTAATTCTAATTCTTATCTAATTTCGTATCTAATTTACGAGTTGTATCTCTTTCTAGATCTCTTATATCTAAATTATGAGTTGAATCTAATTCTAATTTCAGATCTAATTTCAGATCTAATTTATGGGTTAAATCTAATTCTAAATTTAATTCTAATCTCATATCTAATTTACGAACCGTATCTAATTCTAATTCTAAATCTAAACGCATATCTAATCTATTTGTTTATAATTCTAAATCTAAATCTAATTTCATATCTAATCTACGAGTTGTTTCTAATTGAATTCTGGGTCTGATTTTATATTTGACTTACGAGTTGGTTTTGAACGCAGAGTCTCCTTATATGGCAACAGTTCGTCTTCGGAATATCACGATACTCAAATTGAAAAAAAAAAATCGTGAATATATTTGTACATATATATAGTGTATTGTGGGTGGGTGTTGGGGTGTATGTTGTGTGTGTGTGTGTGTGTGTGTGTGTGTGTGTGTGTGTGTGTTGTGTTTGTGTGTATGTGGTGTGTGTGTGTGTGTGTGTGGGTGTGGTGTGGTGAGTGTATGTTGTGTATGTGTGGGTGTTGTGGCTGTGTGTGGTGTGTGTGTGTGTGTGTGTTGTGTGTGAGTGTGTGTTGTGTGTGTGTGTGTGTGTGTGTGTGTGTGTGTGTGTTGTGTGTGTGTGTGGGTGTGGGTGTGAATGTGTATGTGTGTGTGTGCTTGTGTGTGTGTGTGTGGTGTTGTGTTGTGTGTGACTAATGTTATGTGTGTGTGTGTGTTGTTTGTTGTGCATGTGCATGTGATGTGTGTTGTGTGCTGTGTCGTGTTATGGTATTGTATGTGTTTTGTGTGTGTGGGCTATCAAATGTGTATGTCATGATGTGTATGTGTGTTTGTGTGTTGTGTGTGTGTGTGTGTGTGTGGTATGTGCATTTGCTTGTGTTGTTGTTTTTGTAGTGTGTGTGTGTTTTGTATGTGCATTGTGTATTGTGTTAGTGGTGTTGTGTGTATGTATGTTTGCATTGTGCATATGTGTGTGTGTTGTGGTTTGTGCATGTGCATGTGTGTGTGTTTGTGGGTGCATGTGCATTTGTGTGTATGTTTGTGTGTGTTTGTGTGTGTGTTGTGTTGTGTGGTGTTGTATGTGCATGTGCATGTGTGTGTGTGTGTGTGTGTGGATGTTCATGTCCTGGGTCATGTGCATGTGTGTGTGTGTGTGTGTAGATATTCAAGATGAGCCATACAAATGCTCTGTATGCCTTGGAATTTTACGAAATAAAAAATGTAGATAATCAGGATCGCTTTGATTATAATTTTCTTATCATTTTAATTATCATTTAATTTATCATTTGGCTTTCATTCTCTTCTTCATTTTGCTTTCTATGATTCTCATCCTTAACCTCATTCCTCATCCTTATCCTTGTCTTAACGCTCCTCAACTTTATCCTCACCCTCGCCCTCATCCATATTCTCTTCTTCATGTTCATCATCTCCTCATTCTCATCCTCATTATCATATCTATGATCTTTATCCTTATCCTTATCTATATTCTCATCCTTATCCTCACCCTCTTCCTCATTTTTATCATCCACATCCTCATTCTAATTCTTATCTTCATCCTTATATTCACTCTCATCCTCAAGCTCATTACCCATATATTTATCCTCATCTTCATCCTCCTGATCCGTATCCTCACCCTCATCCTCAGCATCCCAATCTTTATCTTCCTTATTTTAACCCTCATCCTCATCTTTATCTTCCTCATCCTTATCCTCCCTCTTATCCCCATCCTCATGTTCATCATCCACATCCTCGCTCTCACTCCCATCCTCATTATTATCCTTCTCATCCTCACCCTCATCCTCATGTTCGTCATCCACATCTTCATCCTCATATTCATCCTCCTCATCCTTATCCTACCTCTCATCCTCATCCTCATGTTCATCATCCACATCCTCACAGCCACTTTCATCCTCATTATTATCTTCCTCATCCTTCTCATTAATTTCATCATCCACATCCTCACTCTCACCCTCATTTTTATCCTCCTCATCCTCACTATCCACATCTTTATCCTCCTTATCTTCACTCTTATCCTCATCTTTTACCTCCTCATCCTTATCCTCGCTCTCATCCTCATCCTCATTTTTATCCTCCTCATCCTTATCCTCATCCTCACCATCCACATCTTCATCCTCCTTATCTCCCCCCTCCTCTGGGAAAAGGATGACCCCGCGTTGCCATGGTTACACAACATACGAGGATGAACCGAGCTGACAACAGTCGAGGCAACACAGGAGCCACAGGATGTTGTCAGGATTAGTCAGCTCAGAAGGATTGGGTTAGGCTGACAAGGTAGGGGAACTACGAAGGAAAATGGGGAAAATTGGCACTAGGCAACCACGCAATGTTGTGTATCAAGAGGTGTGTGTGAGTGTGTGTAGGGTTGTGTGTGTGTGTTGTGTGTGTATGTTGTATGTGTGTGTGTGTGTGGGTGGGTGGTTGTGTGTGTGTGTGTGTGTGTCTGTGTGTCTGTGTCTGTGTCTGTGTCTGTCTGTGTCTGTGTCTGTGTCTGTGTGTGTGTCTGTGTCTGTGTGTCTGTGTGTGTCTGTGTCTGTCTGTGTCTGTGTCTGTGTCTGTGTGTCTGTGTCTGTGTCTGTGTCTGTGTCTGTGTCTGTGTCTGTGTCTGTACAGAGAGAGGGACGTCGCCAGGTTGTCACGGTGTCAGAGCTGGAATGGCTGACAGTACGTAATGCTGTCAGGTCGTCCCCGTGTCAGAACATAAGAGGATGAGGTTTTAAATAAAAGAAGAAGAAGAAGAAGAAAAACAAGAAGAAGGTTAGATTGCTGTTCCTTATATTGCTTCTTAAATAAAAGAAGAAGAAGAAGAAGAAGAAGAAGAAAAAACAGAAATAGAAAAGGACATTTAAAGATAAAAGATGTATTTAGTTTCCACACAAACTATGGTCACAATCTGGATCAGATACCCTTACAACTCTCGATTACTCGGCCAGAATGCATTTATCATCTTATCTTTCTTTCTTTCTCTTTCTTTCTTTCTCTTTCTTTCTTTTTATTTCTTGTCGTCTCTTTTATCATACAACCTACACATTCTCGTGTATTTGCTTTTTTAATGAACTTTAAGAAAATCGTCATACTTACACATACGTTTTCTTAATATTCCATCATCTGTTTTGAAAATTCCGTGAAATGAAGCCAATTCTTAGGTTCTCATGTCATTGTCACTTCAACATCAAGTTATTATCACGAAATATTATAATGAACATCTCTCTCTAGATATACTGACAATATGCAATATACCAACAACACCAATTCACTGCCAACCTATCTTACCACCAACACCAATTCATCTCTACTATGTTTTAACACCACCTCATACCGCCAACATTACTACCATTCCTCATACCACCACCTTATACCACCACTTTTCATACCAACCACCACCTCATACCCCCACCTCATAACCATCACCCATACCACCACCTCATACCATCACCTCATACCACCACCTCATACCACCACCGTCATACCCCCCCGTCATACCCCACCTCATACCACCACCACCTCATACCCCCACCTCACACCACCTCATACCCCACCGTCATACCACCATACCCCTCATACCCCACCTCATACCACCACCTCATACCCCCACCGTCATACCCCCACCTCATACCATCAACTCCCTCCCACCGCCTCATACCACCACCACCAACCCATCCCCGAGATCCCGCCTGTTTTATAA